TCTCTCTCTCTCTCTCTCTCTCTCTCTCTCTCTCTCTCTAACTACCGAAGCAACTGCCGCCCGCCCGCCAACCACCATGCGCGCCCTACCACCTCTCTCTCTCTCTCTCCAACTAACTACCGAAGCAACTGCCGCGCACCCACAAAATGCCGCGTGCCCACCAACTACCGCACACCCACCAACGACACCGCGCGCGCACTAACTACCACAGCATTTAGCACAAGAAGAAGAAGTAGAAGGAGAAGAAGAAGGAAGGAAGAAGAAGAAGAAGAAGAAGAAGAAGAAGAAGAAGAAGAAGAAGAAAGAAGAAAGAAGAAGAAGAAACTACTAACTTACCGGTGGCTCTTAGGGATGGTGGCGACGACGACTAGTGGCTCAACGGGCTGAAGGAGCGACGGGCTGGAGGAGTGACAGGCTGGAGGAAACGGGGAGGGTGCGCTGGCAGTTCCGAGTGTGCAAGGTCGAATGGGCGGTGTAGGGCCGGTACTCCCGCCCAAAACGTTTGAAAACGGTGGCCTATCTGGGCCGTCGATCTCTCCAGATCAACGGTCCAGATAGGCCGCCCTTTTAAAATCCTTTGGGCGGGCCTACCTGACCCGGTTCAATTTCTTTTCCGGCCAGGCAATCTCCACGCAGGCCGTGGGGGCCCTTTGGCCCGAAAAAAAATCCAACCGACCCCCCTACTTCGCTGCGCTATGGCCCACCGGGGGGAAGCCGGCCCGGTTCCGGTTGGGGGTGGGGGCCCCGGTCCTACTGGGTTTTCAGCCTTCGAAAAAAAGTTAAAAAAGAAAAGTGTAATACTATACTCTCCATGAGGACTGTGTTTTGTTCTGGCCACTTGAGATCCTTTGCCCAACCGATCCACTGCCACTGTTTTTCTCAAAGAGCTAAGTTGTGTATTTACTATTTAGTTCATAACGTAAGACCACATGAAGACCACAATACACGTATAATACGACTCAGGCCTGTCAGGGGAGCCACAAAGTAGTAGCAGTTGAAAATGCCACAGGTTTTCGCGTTGTGAAATGCAAGTATATCTGCGCGATCCATCGGATGTTCGATGATTCTGGATTGCTTTCTGGTAGTGATAACACCAGCACAAACATCATTACAAATTAAACCACCACTCCAACAGCCCCTGACTGCACTGTTCATTTTTCTTGTCTACACGCGCCGGGCCAAAATCTACAGTGCCCAGGTTCGCTACCACTATTATTTTTCCACAGGCCGGCACTGTAGATTTTAGGCTCGGGGAAATGCACCTTTGGTTTGTTGAACTTGGTCGGGGATTGGAGCGGTGGTTTGACAAATTCAGCCCATTCCATATTTCAATCACGCTTGTGTGAATGTTGCGACCGCTCACATACGATTTCCATGAATAGCAAATTATCAATAGAAGTTATAGAAATAATGGAACTTCAAAAAAATAGTAAAAATAATAATGGAAGTTATAAAAAAGATATTCATGGCTACATGGAAAGAAATCAGGACAGTTCGGACTGGACTATCGGGACCAGAAAAGACTAGAACGGAGGGAATGAAGCTTCCAGCTCGTAGAAAGATGGGGAAAAAAAAACAGGAAAAACCCCAGCTCTAGAGGTAGGCAGCACATGGGATGGTGTTTCATAGATTCAATTCAATAACAATCATATTGGATATGTTTTTTATTGAATCAACTAATTATTATCTTATAACTTATAAGTGCATGGGTGGCAAACCGGGCGATACTTTGCACGACAGGCGGAGATACGAGTCCCTTTTTTGTCTTGTCCCTTCTTGTTTCTGAAGTCCTTTCTTTGCAGTTTGGTTTGAGAGTGGAACGCGAATCAAACTGCCAAGCACAAACAAACCAGCATGCCTTATCACATGCATGATAACCATCAAATTGAATGAGAAAAACACACCCAAAACGAAAGTAGACTGTCATTTCTTTTCAGTGTTTGGAGATGATGGGAGTGATGCACTCACTGAAAGAACATCCCAAGGATGTCAAGCAGCTGCTTCCTCGTCTCTGCGAGAAGGGTGAACATAGCGTCATTCATGACCTGGTCCCTGAATATCAATCAAGGCAACAATCAGATAAGATAGGCTTTTAGAATGGCCGTGAATACTGAGTCCAAAACAGTGGCAAAACTTAGTACAATGAAGCTCAGTTCAGAAAAAAAACATTCTTTAAAGAAAGTCAAGAAGAGTTTGAGCTCAGTTCAGAAAAAAAAACATTCTTTGAAGAAAGTCAAGAACAATTTGCCAACTTAGTCAGGTTATTAATGGGAGAAAGTCTGACAAATAAGTCAGGTTATTAAATTTTAATGGTTCATTAGAATCATTACCTATGACTGAAACAGTGAAAAGACAATTCTTTGAAGAAAGTGGAGAAAAGTGTGAGGCCCTGGGGCACACCACAGGTAGTTCAGCCAGCAGGCCAAGTGGGGCCCCGACCAACCCCGGTACCTGACCCGGTACAGACCAGCCCGGCAGTCCCTACTGGATCCAGGCAGACCCCGGCGTTGGAAAACGATCAAAGTAAGGCCAGGGCACRGGGAGGGGCACGGGGGAGTATTGCGCAGRCCGCCTGTGGCAAGAGAGCACTGGCATTCTGAGCGCAGAGCAGAAGTGGCCATCCAAGCAGGCGCCATAGCTCGGGGGAATATTGCGCAGGCCGCATGGGGTGCTGCACGGCAAGCAGGCGCCATAGCTCAGAGGTGTCGTGGGAGACGTGGGCGAGAGGGAGAATGGTGGTGAGAGAGAGGGGGGTGAGAGAGGCTGAGAGAGGTTAGGATACTTTGTGGTCGGCGGCRGAGCTCCAGCGTTGTCAGCCTCTCCAGCAGGTCATCAGTGAGTGAGGAGAGAGGTCATAGATGATAGGCTGGGGGAAGTAGTGAAGGCAGAGATGCCTGGGTTGAGGGCTACAACTCTGTTATTGTACTAATTGAGTGTGGCTGAGAAGTGGGTTTTCTTTCTTTTTTTTTTTTTTACCACACACACACACTGCCCCTTCTATTCTGGGGGGCACCAGTCCGGTTACTTATCACCGGCAAGCAAAAGAGTTATAGTAAAACTTGTGAGGTATCAAGAGCCTTCAGTGTTCTGTGTGTTCTTGCATTGGTGAGATCACGGGCTCGTCAATTCTGCTTTCAGTTGGGTCAGCTCACGCTTGCTCTTCAATGGGTTTGTGTTGGTCTCAAATTTTGTGCCCTCGCATGCTGACCCCTCCAACTCCCTTTCAAAAAGATAACACTTCGTAAAAAGGATAAGAGTGCAGCAACGAAGCGGCATCTCAGAGCCTTTTCGGTGATACACCCAAGTTGCCAAATGACTAAGTACTGAGACTCTTCACTTAATCGGATAAGGCTTTCTTTCCTTTTTAAAACAAATGGAAGTTGTATATTTCAAGAGAGCAAGATATGAGGAGCCGGACTGACACTCCCCACTTTCTTCAGTTGTAAAAACTGTAAAATAATAAAATTGCAATACAAACGACTTTTGCCTGAGGGCCACCTCGAAATTCCTTGTTAATTTCAAGATAAAAATAAATTAGAAAACATGAGTCCAAATGCGCCTTTTAAGCCCTTTAGTGACTCTTTATACCCCCCAACCCCCCCTGGATGCCCCATTACCAAATGACGTTAAGACTGGATTCTGACTGTTTAGGCCAAGGGCAGTCCTGGCCTGAAGTCCTTTTTTTTTTTTTTTGGGATCCTTGCCTGCCGGGCGACCCCACCTCTGCCAACTGGCCCGGGCGGGCCTGGCCGGGAGTGCCGGGCTGGGCAACGGCCCAACATAGATAAAACCTCCATACCGGCAGAAAGTCAAGCGAAAAGCACGAAAATAGAGCACTGGACAGATCACCAGAGTGGCACCATGGTTCCTGTCCAGTGGTACAAGAACCAGTGCTCTAAGATGGCTTACCTCCATCAGGACTTGTTGTTCGTTCATCACAGCCAAGGATGGTCCAGTCAGTCTGCAACATCTCCTAAAATCTTGGTTCGTAATGCTAAGCATGCCTACCAGGGTTGTCAGGCGGGGGCCCCCGGGGGCAAAGCCGGGGTAGGGGTTGGACCCCCGGACCCCCGCCGCGGGGG